CCACAGACCCTCCTAAAGAATCTGTCCCCTTCTTTCCTGCAGCTTCTCTTTAGGTACTGATAGGCCTCTTGCCATCCACCAGTACTGAATCCTTTTTGGCAGGACTGTTCTCAGTCCTTTTATCCTCCAGCTTGTATTGACAGTGGAGGTTGCCTCAACACAGGTGCAAGGCTTGCACTTAAAAGTGTTGTGGTAACTGCAGAAGAGTACAGGAAGAGGAGAAGACAACATTGATACATAAAGAAGACTATACTGAAGTTTGGGTTGATAGGCATGGTTATACTTTGATGTCAGAAAAGAAGACTTTGTGAGATATCGCTGAACCGCAGAAACAACAGTAGACTGTTTTCTTTGAAAAGCTGAAAGGAAAGCCTTTTTCCAAATGTCTGATCTTAGTTTAGAAATCACCTGAAACCATTTAGGCATGCTTTATATTGTGGAGTGTTAAAACACATCTGTCTAGTGTTACAGGCAAGTTTAGAGATAGGTGTCCACATGTCTGTGTATGAGTAAATAAATATTCCAAATATATGGCTACAATTTCTAAGATTCAGTCAGTTTTAGTTATTGAAATTAACAGTATGTTAAAGGTTTAAATGTTAATTTTGGAAAGATATAATAACACCTTTGAGAAACCAAAGCAAATATATAAATTCTTGATAATCACAGTTCTTTTTGTTAGGGGGAAGAAATGTATCTGTGAGATTTTCATAAGACAGTTGCATAAAAATCCAGGCACACAATCTGTATTAGGATGTTTTCATACATGACTGTCTTGTCAAAATTTGGATTTAAGCTATAATTTTAAGGTTTCAAATTTAATGTCTCATTAAGAGAAATGAGGTGGAGGAAGAATTTTTGCCAATGTGGTTGTTTCAGTTCAATAATAAATTGGCATCGTCATTCACAGAGAAAACAAAAGAAATAGTTTAGAAATTTATTTCTAATTGAAGTTTAACTTTTGAAGAACACAGAGATATCTGAAAGGTAAAAATCACAGATTTCTCATGCTTCCAGGTTTTTATTGCCTCTGGTAATACATGTCCTTACTTTTATATCACATGTATGTGAAAAAAAATAGATGTAATATTTAAAGATGCCTTTTGACAAAGAAAATATTTCCATCTCTAGAGGTGAGACTTATCTTTAAAGGATGATGAGCGGTTTCCAGATGTGTTTTTCAAGTACTGGGCTTTCCTTTCCTTAAGTCTTGACAGAGGAAAGGTTTTATCAAGGTCTTTGTGATGCTCTTGTTTATTATGAGAAGACATTAGTAGAGTACATCCAAGTGCTTATCGCCTAACAGATGATTAAAGAGAGCATATGGCAGGGAAAATAAATATATATTTGTCCAAGCAATGTGGCTTGTTGACACTCCCACACTCACCATAAATTGTGTATACATGTACTCCCTATTATATGTACACTACATGTACATATAATATTTTGCAAATCTCTTTTCTAATCAGCTAAAAATAAAAGCCAAATAATGCTTTTTTTTTCTCTGATATTGAAGTGTCAGGCAAAGTTGATTTAGAATTTTTTAACAAAGCAATTAAGCAGTACAGAAGATTTTTATAGTATTTGTTTTGCTTTAGTCTGACATTTTACAGCAGGATATGTGTTCTATTTATTTCACAAGGTCACCAGTTTTATTCTTGCAGAATGGTATTTGGTTCATCTACCTGTTTGTCCATGTACAAATATCATACAACATTGCAAGCAGTAATACAAGTTATAGTGGTCTATGTCAAACCCTAGTCTAGATCAGGACATAAAGTTCATTGTGGATTCCCTCCACTTCTATATGATGAAAGTATCAAGGAAGTTAGAATATCTGCCAGTAAATAGTTTGCAAGCCAAAAAATAAAAAAATCTCACAACCCAATCTATCTTTCATTAAGTTATCAAAAAAAAAAAAAAAAAAAAAAAAAAAAAAAAAAACCCTACTAATTTCAGACTGCCTTATTCATTTAGGAGACACACAGACAAATGCTGGAGAAATATGTATAGCTCTTGACATAAAACGTTTCTGATGACTCCTTTGGTCAAGAATATAGCATTCACCCACCTTTTATATAATGGACAAAGCACAGTATCACTACCTAACTGTGACATCTAAATATGACAATCTTCTTATATAGTATTACTAGAAAAAGAAAGGTAATCGTAGTTTCAAGGTGGATTTTGATTGTTCAGAAGAAAGTATTTATAAATAAAGCAGCACAGAAGAGCTGCATTTTGTTTTGCTTTTCAGAATGTTCCTATCAAAATTTTGTTAAATATTTACGTCTGCATCCAAGTATTGGACTCCACATAGCAGTTTATTCTTGCAATTTAACTTCATTAAAGTCATTATACTGATTTAGAGTATGATAGACTAGTGCTCTGGGATTGAATTATAGAGAGATTAGTTTTACCTACTGGCAATAATTGACCCCATAATTCCTATCACCCCTAATCTCAATTCACATGAACCAATGTTAAAAGTGGCAATACTCACAATGTAGGCAAGGTCGTGACAGGTAGTATTGTTTCTTACTACCAATTAGATTTCCCATTTGGTGAGTTTGACTAATGTCATAGAAAGGGTTTCAGGCATGGAAATAGGTTTTTTTAAGACACACAAGCACTAGAGCTGATGAGCATTTTGTTGTACGTTTCCCAGTGTACAGAATTAGAATGCAATTGAATGCTGACCCATAAAGTTTGAATTCACATAGGGATTTAGAACCTATCTTGATCCATGAAAGAGCTAGAAACAAACAGTGATTTGAATCTGGAAGCAAACTTTCTTGAAACTTGATGATGGTAAAATGTGGTGTGCCTAGCATGTTTGGAACCATCTCTTGTTGATAATACTACATTTGTGGTGTACTTCAGATGAGGAACCAAAATGAAAGAGTGAGTTTTAATTGAATAGATGCTTTTCAAAATCAAATCATGTTGATAGTTAGCTGCAAATGACGTAGAGACTTCAAAAAATACAAGGAAAAGATAAATGGATTTTAAATGTGATATATCTTAATTTTTCCCCTAAGTAATAGTGCCAACTTCAAACACATTAACATAACAGTTTTCTGAGAAAACAACAGAACAACAATACTTTTGCATAGCACTTCAGCATAAGATTATTTTTCACATTATTACTAGTTATCCATCAGCTTTTTTCCAAGTATTTACAGATTTGTGTTTCTGGAGTAAGCTGAAACTGTGTGATAAAATAAGACAGATAATGATAAAAAGCATATGTATATGCAAGCCTAGCTAGAAGGAGCAAAGTACACTATTACTGCCCCTCCTGTGAAGTTAATCCTATTTCTTTTAGCCATTTCTTCATTAGTTTATGAGGTCTAGGGAAAAAAAAAATTAAAATGTGTTTGAAATGGTATTTTTGCATCTTGCCTTAAGGTACATCTACAAATATTCATAGAATAGTTTGTTCTTGGAAGGTACATTAAGTGTGAGTTTAGGCAATAATTACTTCTAATGTGAGTGGTCAGAAAATTGCATTTGAAATGGACAAACAAAACAAATAAGCATTTTCCTCATTATAATTCACCATACTGGCTGAAAAGTTAAATAGCAAATAAAGGAAAAATTTTAATGATCAAATTTGGGGTGAGGAAGGGTGGAGGAGGTAAGATGGAAAAACTTCAAGGCTCAGATTATACATGTGCTAGCGTTAATTAGATTTGAATTCAGCTGCAGTCTTACTCGTGAGCTTCTCCTTCACTTAACTATCTATGTCATCAGAAGTATGCAAAGGGCTTGGCTGCTATCTCTGTGAGATGAGTGCCAGAGGACGTAACTACATCCCAATTCTGTCCCCTACCCCATACTAACCAACATCTCTGCAGACCTCTGCATAGCAATTTTGGGATCACAGTGAAAGTGACTCCTGTGCTCTGTAGCCCTGTTCTTCATGCTGAGGCTGGAATGCGCTCTGAGGATGAAAATCTGGAAGAGCCTCCACAAGCCAGTTCTTAAGACACCTTATGCATTTGTACAGGAACTGCAATTTACATTTTGAGTCTGGTGCTTTTGTTCTATTGAAAAAACAACTCATGTATTTTTTTCCATGGTAGAATTACTGAAGGCATGAAGCTGTAACTGTTGGATTATTCTGTACCCAGAGTTTCAGCTTGTTCCATTTCATTCAACATTCTTAGACTTTCATTCTCCAGGAGTACAACTAGATCTCCTGAGCATCTCCTGGCATTGTCTTGTGAACAGGGAGAGAAACCACCAATCCCTAGAGTTTTCCATACATACATAGTGCATTAAGCAAAGGCATTATATTTCTACCAGCTCGTTAAAAGCTTACAATGGATGCATTAAAAGCTTGCAATGGATGCAATAAGTTGATGACTTGTACTCTGCTGCTTCGCAAACTGTCAACCAGAAATAAGTAAATCAAGGCTATGAGCAGTGTCTCCATGTTGTAGGTAGCTAGCAATTAAATTAAAACCGTTATGGAAAAGTTTCAAAACTAATGATCTTTTCATCTCATATTCAGTTTCAAAATGTTAGGAAATTAATGCTCCTTTTCTCATTTCATTAGTTCAATTTTCTCCCCTTCTCTCCTTTCTTTTATTGGATTCCTAGGGGTTTCTCTGTTATTATTATTCTCTTTCTGTAACAACCACTACAATAAAAATCAATAGCACAGGAGTTCTGAGTTTTTATTTGATGAATGTGAAATATTTGCCTATATATATAATAAAACAAATATATATATATTATATATACATATATTTATTATATATATATACGCATTATATATTATACATATATATTTGTTTTATTTTATTTTGCCTTGAGGACATATTGACAGTCAATATTAATAAGCTTAAGACTAATACTGGAAGTTAATTATTACAGTTTCTGGCTGTGGTAAGTGTTCTATAGGATATAGTAATTATATCCTTTAAAAGAAACTGATGTCATGGTCGCATCCAGAATTCACTGGATTTTCTTTTACTGTTTTTATTTTTCAGGTGATTCATATAACAGGCCGCTTACGTCTGAGAGTGTCACTGTCTCATGGACGGACAGTACCCAGCCAAATCATGGGACTTGTTGTCGTTGCTCATGCTTTGCCACCTCCTACAATTAATGAAGTCAGGATTGACTGCCACATGTTTGTCACTCGTGTGAATATGGACCTCAATATCATTTACTGTGAAAATAGGTACAGATTTTAGCTCCTTTTTTAATTGTTTTATTTCCATATATTCTTTATTCCGTTGGCTTAGTAAAAAGTTTTGGAATTTGTGATTCCTGCAATGTCACTCTGGTCTTGTATGAGAGCACTGGATTCACACTCATTGTCATCATCTCCATTACTGTTGCATTCTTAGAGTATAAACTAAATACTATGTTTTGAAGGAATTGTTCATGAAATAGGGGAAGATAGTTCAGAAGAGTTTCGTTTAAGCTTCCCTTGCTTTTTACAATCTGCCATTGTACCCCTCAGAGGCAAGATTCAAAGCTGCTCATATGACTTATATGGCTGTCCTTACACGCTCCCCTGTCTCGACAAGTCCTACTTTGTTTACAGTTTCCTGGTTTTGAATAAATCTGTAGATTGCAACACATTGTGCTTAGTGTTTAATGGAACAGAAGCACAGATGGCCTAGATAGTAGGCTAGGAGAGGTGGGAAAACTGTAGATTAAAATTGTTTAAGGACATATTAGGAAAGGCAGCAGTGAAATGGGAAGAGGTGAATGAGGAGTTGGTGGGAGAGGAGGCTATGTTTAATGTAACAGGGACAAGTGATTTAGGAAAGTAGACAGAATTTAAATTCAGTCGTCTACTCCCTATGACTAGGGCATCAGGAGTGGCAGGATTTGGGGCAGGGAAGCCCTGCCAGGACATTCATGTTAATGCCTATTGTTGCCATTGAGACCTTTAAAAATAGATATAAAATGTAGAGAACAGGTATTAGGAGCAGAATGAAGAGATCTGAGAAAGAAGATATGATAAGGAAGTTTGAGTTCTGTTGATGGAAATCTCAGAGAAAAGCCACAAAACTTTGTCAAGAGAACCTGTCATTAAAAAGTAGAACAAGCAAGATTGCTCAGGCAAGCTTTTCATGTATCTGCAGAAATTGCGTGTTGTAAATAAGAGTTCAAGATCTCTGTAATAATCAATAATGGAACACCTCTGTTCAGAATAGTACATCCTCTTAAATGCTCTGTTGAATCAGGGCTTTACACATTTTACAATAATTCTGAGTTTCAATTATTAGTATATCTTTGCTGTCATGTTGCTAAACTTCCACAATAATGGTATTAAAAATATTATTTGTCTATTAAAGAGACCACTTCATCTAAACTTCCAAAGTATTTTCTAAAGGAAAATGTATTATTCTCATTTTTAAGTTTGGAGAAATTGAGCAATAGTAGGTGACTTGCACAAGTTCACACAGAAAGTTGATAACAATATAAAAATTTACACTGGATTTTTGCCTGTGATTCTACCCAATGAGTTTCTAGATTCTGTATAGTCTGGCAGCTATTGAAAGAGCTCTGGGATTTAGCACTAGGATCTAAAAGAAAACTTTAGCCTTAGTGTGTGATTTGACTGTGACCTACACTGGTGGTAATGGAAAGCAGCTACCACTGCAGAGCTCATCAATGGTCTCTGTGAAATGAATTTCTGGTATCTGTCCAGTTCCTAATTAACAGATTTCCTTTTAACGAAATCACGTGCACTTACTGTTACCTTTGCTGGCAACCTCAATGGGAGAAAAAAAGCCAGGAATGAAATGGATGTGGAAAATGAACTATTCCATCAGGTCAACTATAATATAATTTTTTTGATTGCGTTAGAAAGATTTACACTTCTCTACTGACCATTTGGCATTTTTAAGAACCCTACAATGTGTGTGTTTGTGTTTAATTAAACAGTTTTTTCAAACTTCCCATGCATTTACATGTAGAAATTAGTACTTAAAATTCCTTGAGAAAGGCATCACTGAAAAACCTAAAGTGCATCGCACATGGAATGCTGTTTGGAAATCACAAAGAAAAAGCCAGTAATGTGGTAAACTATGGTAAGCTAGCTGATTTACTTATGCAAGAAAACATTGAGCATAATAACATTTTTCATTAGAAAAGGTAAAGACAATATCATAAAGTTGCTTTTCCCTGTCTATAGTGGATTTCTTACACAGTAGGGTGGAATGCATATGATAATACTTAAATTTATGTTGCAATAGTTACATTTTTAAGACTCAGTGGCAGTGTTAAAAAATTATAAAAGGAATTTCAAATAGTAGAAACTGTTCTGCCAGGACTGAGAGGTGAATGTTAGCTCAGTGAGACAGCGGGGCTTCCACTCCTGAAAAATAGTGTTAGATTGGCAGGACTTAAATTTCATAGCAGGCACATAGTAGAATAAGACTATTAAAGCTGGAGGAATGGAAAGGGCAAAAGAAGGCAAGGAAGTAACTGAACAGCTGATATGAAGCTGTCAGATGAATTATCTGGGCATGTGCCAAGGCCATTCTCTGACTCAAGGAAGTAGGTATCTCTCTTCTGGGGCTATAGAAAAGAAGTTTAAGTATCCTTTCCTGAATATATGGGCTTGACTCCTGGCATCTGGGGGCAGCAGGGAAATTCTTTGTGGTGTAACAGTAAAGCAAGTGCAATGCTGATGAAAGCGGAAAAATAGATCCATGCTGGGGAAGCCATAAGCATTATTTATGGAGCAATGGGGAATTACTAGCAGCAGCAGGGAGTATGGAGCAGAAGCCATGCTACTTAACCAAAATAAATGCTCACAGTGGACCATTGGATCAGCAGGGGTGAGATCAACAGTACTCCTATTTTTCCAAGCGGTTGCCTGATTGCAGTAGTGGGGAGTGAAAGTGACATAAGTCTTTGGGTGCATCTTGTTAGTTTATTCTGAATGAAGATATCTGCATCAGAATCCTGGAGTCACTGCAGAAATTAGTCAGCAACTGTTGACATCCTTTTGAAACAAGATCAGTTAGTACACTTGCTCTTTCTAAGAATTAATATTTTATTCTGTGATTATGGAATGGAGATGTAAATTTCAATATGTCAATCCATGTGCCTGCTATCCAAATGTGAAATTCACGTCATCTAAACTTCATCACTTAGTGTAAGGTAGTCTAGAATTTATTTCTTAGTCAGTGGAGTGAGAACGGCACCTTCAGAGGATAAGCCATCTAAAACCAAAATAGAGACCGCTGCTAGAAGACAGTGTAAAGTGTGCTTTCAGTATCAACTTACTATATATCAGAAATATAAGGGGTTTGGCCTGTTGGTATGACAGTAGTTGCCATTAGTTACTTAAGATGTGCAAAAAGAGTCTTGTTTACAGAAATTCAAGTGCAAGTATCTGCACATTTTTGTCCTAATTCAGCAAAGCACATATCTCTGTCTCTAAATTTCAGTTATGTTAATAGTCCTGTAATTCAGTGGAACCACCAATCTGTTCACAGGTAAACCTGTACTTATGTTTTAGAGGATGGACATCTGCCTATTCAGCAGAACTGAGTTCCTACTGATCTACCTGTTGCTTTAGCATTTTGTTGGGCTGGGAGCTTATAAGACCTAGTGCTCTAAAATATAACATTTCTTCCTTTTCTCTCTTTTAGTGATCTATTTTGCATCTTAGATACTTTTGATATGAGAGTCCTCTTTGATGTAGTTTCTTTCCCTTCTGATTTTGGTGTCATTGCTTCTCAGTGATCATCATATACATCTCTAGATTCTTTCCGTTTCTTCCATTTTTTTTTAATCTAATGAAAAAAATCTTTTATCCTTTACATGTCTGTTTTGAAGAGCTATTTCTTAATATTTTCCTTAAATTTAAGAGACTGAATTTGCTTCTACAGTTGCCTTACTTTGTTCATTTTTAAGTGTTAAAACTTTACAGAAACACTCTGCTGAATAGACGCAAAATACACCTGAGTCAAATTTACCAGAGTGCAGAATGGCAGTCCTCCATGTGAACTGTAGCAACCATAGTCTGGGTGCATCATGGGGCTGTGGCTGTGATGCTGCACAGCCCATTTCTCCCCTTCTACAACACAACTGCTCCCATACTTCTAGCGGACCACGTCTGTGTTGTTAAATAACACAAACATGACCATTCGAGCTGTCATATCCTTTCCCTGCAGCCTCTGGAACAATCATATGAGGACCAGGAGTGACAGAACTCTTGGTCCTGTCAAAATCTGTCAAGAGACTGTTCTTTTTTTATGTACTGGACTTCTCCCTCAACTTGAAGCATAGCCATCTCCAAACAGAAATACAATATTCTTAGGCCAAAGAGAGAACAAAAAATGCTAATGAGGAGAGTATAGAGCTGAGAAGAAGAGAGGCTTGAGTTTTTGTTCCTGTACTATTTTTGTTCTATGTATTTACACACTTGGTTTTGTATAAAAAATAATATACAGTCCAGAGAACAGAAAACTTTTAATGTCGGACTCGATTTGCTCTGATAAGGTATCTTATCAGAGTTCCTAGGTCCTTTGCTTGATGGCTGCTAATTCACTGTGCAAACTAAGTAGTGTAACTCAGCAGGAGTAGGGAGTCCCACTACCACCATCCCAGACTTCTTTATCTGATGAACGTTGTCAACTCCCAGTAGGTAGAAGAGATGCATTTCAACTGTGAACAGTTGTGGTGAACAGTAGATGGGTATCCCTACATAGGTATCCCACATTTGGCTAAATACTATAATACTAAACAGTCCTTTGACTTCAACATGCTCTGCAAGTGGGACAAGACTGTTGTGTTTTATGCTAAACTTGATCTGACAATCTGGCAAATCTGAGTCCATGTGTTTCTCCTGTGACAGTTTTGCAGGGGTTTAATATGGACAATGCAGCCAATCAGTGCTGCTGTTGCGCTATCTAATACTTCATTCCTCTTCCTCCTCCAGCCTTCCCTGTCTATGCACTTTCAGATAGTTTTGCCAGTCAGTGCCTCAAGGTTTGTGCTTGCCACCTCTACCTGCTGGGAGCCCCTTGGACCTGTGTGGTCCAGTTTCTGTTTGATCTCCTCACTGGCCTGTACTCTGGATCACAATTCTGTTGTTTCAGCTGTCTGGTTCTATCAAGACATTTGGTGTTTCTTACAACTCTCTTAAATGGATGCCTATTATGGCTTAGAACTGTGAAGTGGGCTTAAACCCAACCATTATAGCATGCTTTAAACTTTAAGGATTATTCAATTTCCAGAAAACGATCTTACTTTTAATTGCTGGTATGTGCAAGGCATTTTCCAAATGTTTTGTTTTCTCTACTGCACTTAAGAGCATTGTTATTTTGGTACTCAATGACAAAAGTTTGCACACGCTCACAGACACAAAGGTCTGAAGAATAGATTTTAAAGTCTCTACGTGCAATAAACAACAGAGTCCCAGTTGAAAGGGCCCAGAGTGAAAGCTGAGCTCTCAAATGAATTAGACTGAAAGAGATAACACCCTGAGGCATCTGTATGTCTCAGCATTTAAATTATATCCCTTGAAATATCAGTTTGGACTTGGTGCCAAGAGATGGTTGAAGATCTTTTTCATGAATATATGCAATAGAAGACCAATCTGTTTAAATGAAATGTCTCTAATCATTTGTTATAAGCATACCATAGTTTTGCTTTATTGTGCAATTTTGAATCGTCTTGGTCCTTTAATAAAGATTTTGGATTGTTGCAAATGCTTTACAGCTTCATGGAATTATACAGTCTTGGTGTTACACTACAAGAAGAATAGGGAACAAAATAACTTTTCACTTACTCAGTGAATTATACGACTTCGAGGTTTTTTCTTAAACTGATTTCTCTTTTTGTTTTTAAGGCTTCTTCTTCTTAGTGCAGGTATGTTTGGTTTGAATTTATGGAAGAGACTTCATGACATTATTACAGTGGTGAAAAAATTATTTTGCAGATTTCATTTTCTTAGCCACTTCGCAATTATTGTGTTCTTTTCCTTCTTTAATTACAAATTCTATTTTTTTCCTTTTTAGGATTAGTGATTACATGGATTTGACCCCTGTAGATATCGTAGGAAAGAGATGTTATCACTTTATTCATGCTGAAGATGTGGAAGGCATCAGGCATAGTCATTTGGACTGTAAGTACCTCCATTTTTTGTCAAAATAATGTGCTATCAGATTGTTCCTGAACCACTGTTCATATTTTCTGACTGGAAGCCTGCATCTTGCAGCTGCTTTTTTTCATTACAGAACTTCATAGGAGGTAGCACAAATTTAGGTTTTTGTATCAGTTATTTTCAAGTCTTTCTATAGATGCATAGCATAACTCACATATGTTGGAATAAAAAATTGTATTTGTGTTACTGGAGTTTCCAGTAGCTGTTCATGCACATGTTCTGTGCATTATTTTACTCCCTCAAAGAGGTATCCCTACACAGAAAATGAACTCCTCTCATTGTTTTTTGTTTGAATCATAACACGGAGGTCAAAAACCAGCATATTTGGGATTTCACCAGATTGTTCAGTACAGAACTGAGCTACATCTTCACCAGTGTTTAAACCACGCAGTGCATTTACATCTAAACAGCCTCAATCATCTAAGTCCCTGTTATTTCCACACGGGTAGTATCTGATGATCAGGATGAGGGAAATACAAGTACAAAAATGTTTCAAGAGACAAACGTTACCAGAGAGCATGTGTCTCTGTATGGGGGAAGGGAGGTTCAGCTTGATTCCTTGTAATTAAACTCTTTATATTCTTCTTATTAAAAGCCATAGGGCCTAATTCTTTTCTTGTTGAGATCTGTTGATTTCAGTGATGGTGCTCCTGATTTACCCTGGTATGAAAAGAGACTTAAGCCCATAATCTCTAGTTTATCTGTGCCTGCAGATAATTCTTTGGAAGTTTCAGTGACTGACTGCGTTTATGATTGACTTGTATGTTTTTCTAATTTAAAAGGCCATCTGAAAGCTGCTTCTCTCACATTTGAATAGCTCTGCTTTTTCGAAGTCTTTATAATGTAGAATTTGGTGAATCCATGCACTATGTCCTGTTAGCACTCACTAGTGAAAGGGTAGCAACCCAAATCCAGCTACCTTTATTAAGTTCTTAGAGAACTACACAAGATATTAGAAGACATTATAAATCTTTGGTCCCTTTGCTTGATACGTAAGAAAGATAGGAGAATAACTTTAACTGGAAAGCAAGACAGGAAGGACCACTTCTATGATAATATCTGGCAGCCAGCACTACTATCAAGTTCTGTTAGCTTTCAAATAGTCCCTCAAATTACTTGCAGGTAAGGTGCATTTAGCATAAGAAGGTCAGGTTAGATAAAATTCTGTGGAAAAAAATCAACTATCCATAATGAAAAACAAATAGCCATTCTGCATCATTTACATTTGGATGTTTTAATATCCACAAGGATATGGCAGTTGATACAAACGAAGGAACAAACCGAGAAACCTACTGGGTTCTCTTGAAACTCGAAGTCAAAAAATGACAAGTTGCTTTTCCACTGAATAATGTGACCAAGGAAATAAAAGATATTTATGACTGAGACTTAGCATACCACCTGGCAGAGATGAACATCCCATTTGAAAAAGACCTTAATCTTCTGAATGACCACTTCTCTCTGAAATAGAATATGCTTTATGAAACATTCATCTTCAGAAAACTTAGAGACTTCTTTCTCAAACAGTGCAGTGCAGTGCTGTGTGGCCTAGTGTATGAGCACTGGGCTAGCACTCAGGAGACCCCTGTGATTGCTTCACATTGCTGTAGATTGCTTGTAGATTGTAGATTGTAGATTGCTGCTCTCACTGTATGTCTGACTTCAGCAGAGTTCCAAACTTTTTCTGTAACTATAGCATAAATATTCTTTCTAGGCTCAATATTTTCAGTAGGTGAGGTCACTTAGTTAGGTCTTTTATTTACAGGTGTTCTCGTGGCGTATAGGAACAGGATGTTCATAAAATCATTCAGGCTGGGAGGAACTCTGGAACACTATCTGAATCAAAATTGATTCATAGTAAATTTTTTAGGTCTTTGGCTAGCTGGTCTTGAAAACCTTCAAGGACAAGTATGCCACAACTTACTGAGCAGCCTATTCCAACTACCTTTAATAAGGGCTTAATTATCACCACAGTGATTTTTTTTTTTTTCCATCTGGCTAGTTAGAATTTCCCTGTTTTGATTGTGCAGCTCATAGCTGCATCTTAGCAGACTGTTAGGTCTCCCAAAGCCACCTCTTCTTCAGATCAAGCAAGCCTGTCCCTACAGGTTGAGTGCTCCGGCTCCTAACATCTTGATAGCCCTCTGTTGAGCTCACTGAAGTTTGTCACTATTTCGCTTGTACTGGAGTGCCCAAATTTGATGTTATTTTCCAGCTGCAGCATAAAAAAAGTCAAGTAAAGGGAAATAGTGACTTTCTGTGATCTACTGGTTATCCCCTTTTGTATAGCCCGTAAAGCACACTGCTAGTTTGTGCTTAGTCTGTTGTCCACCAGGACCACTGGGTCCTTTTCAGCAAAGCAGCTACCCAGTCAGTCACTTCACAGCCTGCAGCATTACAGGGAGTCTGTCCATCCCAGGTACAGGCATTTGTTTTTTCATGTTGTTCAGAATCATGCTCTGGATGAACAATCGTGAAGTTTAAATTAGACTTGGGAATAGCTCAGTAAGTATACTTGCCCATTATAACTGCTGCAAAGGTTGAAGTGATGCCCAAAGAGATGCTTGATTTTTCTAGCATTTGGAAAAGTACTTTGTAGAAATGCCATGGGAAAGAAATCATAAAACTCCAAAATACTTCATAGCAAGTTTTCCATCACATAAAATCAAGCTTAAACAAATCTAGAAAGATAAAATCCTTGTTTCAGTTTAAAAAAAAAAAAATTAGAAAAAAGAACTAAAATTCAAGAATCTGCAACACTGGCTGTAGAAGGTAAGAGACAGCAGAACTGTAGTTTCCCTAAATAGATAAAGCAGGAGGTTTGTCAGTCCTATGCAGAATGCTTGCTTGATATGGATAAAAAGCAGTGTTATACAATGTTTTAAAGAGCAGCTGGAAGCTGAAATATCAGTTAAAAGGCCCTGTGAAAAAGTAATGCAGGACTTGAGAAAGCATCAATCTGAAGATGTATTTGGTAGATGCTTACAGAGAGCATATAAAAATCTGATAGCTTTTTAAAGGACAGAAAATAGTTTTTAAAGATTAAAACAAGAATCCCAAATTGTATTGGTAAATCTAAGAGTAAGAAGAAACACAAAACTGTTACTGTTGCCTATTAATTGACAAAATATTAGGAAAAAATGGAAAAAATAAGATGAGTATATGCTCCCTTCTCATCCAGGTTATTCAAAGGCATCAAAGAGGGAAACAAAGCTGAAAATGCTGCACAAAATCATACAAAAAAAAAAGAGAGCTGTTGATGGCTTCAGATCATAGCAACCTATTAGAAACTGTGAAAAACAGGCCTTGTTAACTCTATCTCAGATAAAAGAAGACAAAAGCTGTTTCAGGAATGTGACAATAACAAGTATAATGGTGAAGAAGGTCTACGGGACTATAACAGTAACAACAATCTTTTGTGAGGGAACTGCTGCCCTAATTAAAGGTCAGCTACAGTCAATGGAAAACCTTTCATTGCTTCAAAGGACATGGGGATTATGTCTTAAAAAAGCAAATTTATAGAGATCCAAGTCCTGACCCAAACAAAGTAAATAGCAAAAATTCCACAAGGTTCAGTGGAGTCTAGATTTCTGCTTTGTGAGTTATGTTAGTTAAAGCTTAACGAGACCTCACCTGGAGTGCTGTGTCCAGATACGAAGTCCTTAGTACAGAAGAGACGTGAATGTGTTGGAGTGAATCCAGAGGAGAGGCATGAAAATGAACCAGCAGATGGAACACCTTTCCTGTGCAGACAGACTGAGAGAACTGAGGATGTTCAGGAGAAGCGAAGGCTTTGGTGAGACCTCATAGTAGCCTTTATCGGGGGACTATAAGAAAGAAGGGACAGACTTTCATAGGTTTTTGTTGTGACAGGACATGGGGAAATGATTTCAGACTAAAACAAGATGGATTTAGGTTGGATATAAGAAGAAAGTTTTTTTACAGTAATGATGGTGAGGCACCGGAGCAGGTTGCTCAGAGGGGCGTTGGGTGCCTCATCTCTGGAGACATTCAAAGTCAGACTGGATAGGGCTCTGAGCAACCTGATGTAGCTGTAGGTGTCTCTGCTTATTGCGGGGGAGTTGCAGTGGATGGCCTTTAAGGATCCCTTCCAACTCAAACGATTCTATGATTTTAAGATTCTAATGCCCTTATGAATTGGTAAAATAATATTTATACTTTACCTGTACGTGTTCCTGCATCTATTCCAACACAGTAATATACAGTGACAATCCATAAATTACTGAAGCAAAAGCTTTTCTCAAATATAAATAAAAAGGGATACCGTTTCTGTCTTGTTTCATACAAGCCAATTGATTGGTGTTACAATTTCACCTTATTAATGTATTTCCTATTTTGTAAGACTTCTTGGTTTCAGAAGTTAGGGAAATTTTTCATTTGTTAATCTTTGATGCGTTTTTGAATAAATTGCTTGTAGAATCCTGACTGATACCACTTACAATAAATCAAGTCTCTCACTGAGAGAATAGTTACAATGTGCTGTAGTACACAGTCCAGCATCACAACACATCTGATGGCTCAGCTGACACCCCATAACTGACTTAGCTGCAATAGCTTGTGTTTGAATATGAGATCTCAAAAATTGCAAGTCTGGCCATACCCTGGCTCAGATACCATCCCTAATCCTACTCTGTATAACACAGTTCTTTGTTAGAATGTGTGGCATGAAAAAAGTGGAAGCTGAATGGTTTACACTGCATAGTTAAACATCTAGGACTAACATACTGAGAAGACCCCTTACAACTAGGTTACTTTTAAGAATAGAAAAGATGGTAGGGTCTCTCTTCCTATTTACCTCTGCCTAGAAACACTGCAGGGCTGAACTTCATATCAAGCAAAGAAAAGCCATGAATCTCTTCGCATGGGTAGAATTGTCTTTGCTCCAATGGTAAGAAAGTGATATAACAGATGGCAGGATACATTTTATGTCAAATCAATGTTAG